CTGTGCTATTTTTTGCTGTTATATTGTGATAATGGTGTGTTCAATAAATCATTCATTCATTCATTCATTCATTCCTAGACTAACGATATGGAATTTCGAATACCAATCCTGGTCTAAAGTGACATGTGACCTTAGTTCCCACATGATATGTTCCCACGGGCGGGCGGCGGATGGCACGCAAATGACAGAGCGGTCACTTCACACGCCCGCGCCGCTTGATTTGCACCTAACAAGCCTAACGTTTCTATGATTATTGTTGCACAGATTCATTTCTTGTACCTTCAACTCGAATTTCTTTAATCGTTTTTTTTTTCTAAATGGAATAGACATTCTTGAGTTTCTTTTGAAAGCAAACTTCTTATTAGACTATTGTAAATGTTAAATTTACCAAAGAGGAAAATGGAAAAATTCACACAATTTTTCACGGGCGAAATAGTTATTATAAATGTGATGTGAAATTAACAACAGGTGTTTTTGTAAATGCTATGTCAATTTTTCAATGCCACAATGAAAATTATTATAATTTACTGAAACATATCTAACTGCCTGTATATTATCTAGAATAAACACCGAGTAATAATATATTAAACGATATGAAATCGTTTAATTAATTTTGAATTTATGATAATATTCGTTACAACTCTTATTAGAAAATAACATGATTGATATTTATATAAAAAAATATGTTAGCAATTTTTTTCATTAATAAATCTGAATGAAACAAGCATGTTCCATAAAATATTAAACAAATTCTTTACGAGTGCGGTTATGATTTAACGCAATAAAGAACAACACCGAACGCCATAAATCAAACAAATAAATCGTTATGAATAAAATGCGGACTGCCACTCTCGGTCATTTTAAAAATTATGGTATAATTAATATTATAATAACTTGTCGAGGCATCTCGCATATAACTCATCGGCCGAGTGACAACCTTTAGTATTCGACCATTTTTCGGGGCGCATACCTTGTCCTTTTGATCTCACGTGCGAGTGATTTTTATAATTCACGATAAATTTTGCACTCTATATAAATTGATTCAAAGTGCAAAATTGGTTATATTAGGTCGCGACTAAAAGGGCAAGGTGGCTGACAAATTAATTAAGCCATACGAAACGAGAATCGATCTGTTGAATCGAGTTACATGCTCGGATACACCGTTCGTATTGAGGATGGCACAATTTCATATGTCTGGCCACTGACCTCTTCATCGCTTGAACCATAAATATTATACTTCTTAAAAAAAGAACACGATATCTAAATTCGAATTCTAGATTCTATCGCAAAATAAGAACTTTTTATTTGATGCAAAATTTTGATGAAAAAAGATCCATTCAATAAAGTAGGCGGCACTAGATCATGTAATCCGAGAATACTATGGGAAACTCTTGTAGGAAGTTCATGCGACATCAGTACTCATTTATGTTTTGTATTCTCTTTAATGTCTGTAGTCATAAGAATCCCAGGAAGTGTTTAATTGAATGTCAGCCCGTTCACAGTTTGATATATTGGAAGTCCCAACCCGGCCCGTGGGAATTAAAGTGGAAAATCAGCAAACTTTTACAAATGTCTGCATCCCACACGTTAAAGACTGATTTCACCGATAACTTGACTAACCATCTTATAAGCAGAAAGTTTTGAAATAGATAGCAATTCAATTTTAATTATTGTTATTAAAATTAAATTAATAAGTTTCCAATAATACTATGTCGATATTTATCAGCATGAGGCGTAATTAAACACGGAAAATCTTTCATCGTTATTGCACGAAGCCGTTCTCGATTACACGATATTAAACGTAAACCGAACACATAACAAGTTCAGTTAACGACTTATACGTTGTATGTACCGTAAGAGCAAAAAGCCTACCGCGCCTCAGCGATATCATAAAAACGACAAATCATTGGCGACATCGTCCCTCTTTAAAAACAACGGCGGGCTTGTACGGAATCGTGTCGGATCTAATTTAGAGCGCGCGCAAGCTGATGAGCGGCGCGATAAGCGGGCGAGCCCACGCTGCGTGATTTACTCGGCCTGCGGAACGCGCATTTACTAACGACACTGCGTGTATCGCGGTTCGAATTAACTTTGCGACTTTTGATGTCAATCGCGTGGTCAGACGACGCTGAAAAACTAATATGGTTTGTCCTTTATAAGTTAAATAATAATAATAAAGTATTTAGGACAAAAAAATGAAATCAAAGATTGACAGATAAATCATTTTACGTGTAAAAAGAGAAAAAAACGTCTTTGGTCTATTTTGAAATTATTGAGTCCATTAAATATAAATATGCAACTTCAAAAGATTTTTTTTTTATTTGTCAATAGCTTTTTTAGTGATTTAGTTTTATTTTTCGATTTCGAGGTCGGTTTTTATTAAATTATATCACGAAAAAATAAGAGAAAAATAATCCAAATATGTATTAGATACACTCTTATCCTATATGGTTATGAGGTGAGAGTATGGTTTTTATGTATATTATTGTATACATAAAAACCATACTCTAATTCGGCGTATACAATTAGTAAGTAAGTATTTAGTGAATATGCATGCGCATGGGAGCGAGTACGGAGATGTCACTAGGTGCGCTGCACCTGCGCGACTGATCCAATCCAAGTTCTCGTTGATAAACGATTACTCCGCGACTCGGCGACCGACCGACAGATAACATTACCATAGACTACCTCCTAACAGTTACTATACCACACAGAGCAAACGTATGTATACTGCATTTGTTTATTTTTTACGTTTATAATCAGACTCCTACTAATTCAAATTTCGCATTCAGTACATCGAACATTATTCATTAGAAGCCATAAAACTATATTACATATATAAAGTCTTTGACTATAATTAATGGTTCGCAAATTGATATAAAATTATAGAATATACATATTATTGTAGCTGAAAATTTTATAATTGTATTGAGACCCCAAATTATCAGATGAAAGTAATATACGGCTATTCAAATATAATATCTATGTCTACTTAACTTACAATTATTTTACCTGCCATTAAAGTCGACTATAGTATAAAATATTACTGTTAGGAGCTGATAAATATAGACTGAAAATGTGGAATGATTCAAAAGTGGTTTCAACAAGCTTATTTGAATAGAGAACTGATTGTATAATTATAAAGGAAATTCACAAATATATTTAATTAAAACAGTGTATATGCTTTTGACCGATACAGTACAAGATAGCAATCTCACTGATGAACAGACAGTCGTGTACATTTACATATTACTCGTGTGTAGGCACTGAGCATGCTGGCTGTCGGTAATTTATAATGTTGCCTTAATAATTTTCACCATTTAGGGTAGTGTTACAGAATAAATATTAAAACAAATATATGAACCTTTTTAAAATCGTGACGGCTGCATGTTGTTAGCGGTATAAATAGCAAATAAACAAATGAGAGAAAATGCGTGGCTCAGATCACACAACAATTAGATAAAGCTATGTGTTATAGATATCTGAAACAAATAAGATATCACTATACCAAGACCCGAGACACAATAGAAAAAGAAAACACTTTAAGCAATCAAAAATTATATTCGGTATCTCAAAAATAGCGCTTCTGAAACGATCACTCCGGAAAAACTATTATACTTAATTAACAATCAAAATCTGAACTCCGATTTGGTCTATAATTGAAGGAATACACAAATAATTGAATAATTTAAAATATTATATTATAATAATTTAAGTGGCGTTGAACAAAAATGAACATGCAGTATGCACACATCAGCGATAATCTCTCAAATAGACGCATAATATGCATTAATATTTATATTAAAAATATTTTTATAGCATTAAATTGAACGAGAAACAAATCTTGTAGTAATATGTGTCATTTCCGCGTGAATCGTGATCCTAACGGTCGTTTCATAGTCTCTATAGACAATATCATAAAATATGTTTAAGATTTTCCATTACCGACGTCCATTAAACACGGTTATATAACCGTGTGCCAAAAGTTCAAGCTATAAAATATCCTGATTATTGCAAACTTTTTTTCCTATACCTCATGGTATGAGTCAAGAAATAAAAATATTAAGTTTTTTTAAAAGAAACAGTATTTTCTATCGATTATACTGTGGCATCGAACAGAAATCAATCAAACATATAATAAAATAGATAATTATAGATATCATTAACAATAAACTAAGTTATTAGAAGTATCCGCATAACATCTATAAAATTCATATAAGTATAATAAATTAATAAAAGTGGTTTATTTTTATAAAAGTATAACATTTGTGAATTTTTAAGTCGTTTCTTTAGATTCTCATCATTCAGATGTATTTTATAACTAAAAAAGTTTAATAAAACGAAGTTTAATATTTTACCAAACGCGACATTATGTCAATTATAAAAAAAAAAATCTAAAATTTGAATATGGAATCATGACTAAAAAAATTAACATTATAAAACGTATGTATTATTAAAATTGAATTGATAAAAATATCATAAATAGAACGGCCGCATGACCATCATGGTTGCGTTGAAATAGTTACTAATCGATACATCGTAACTATATTAATCGATACACAAAACGATTTATCGCGAACGGAACCAATAACATGCGCTATGGTCCTCGAAATTAACAAGCAAATGACTGATTGGAAAATGGTAGATATCGGTTACGCTGTATTAACGTTAAATTGGGTTTCTGTGGCGAGTTTTCTGTCGGTAGTCGTTACGATAAGAGCAACTATATTGGTGCACGCGCATAAATAATAACTCTGGTATTTTTGCAGAATTGTATTTGCCTACACTTTGCCTTTTAGGAAAATTGATCTAAAACAGGGTAAATTTTTTTTTAATTACAAATGTAATGTTGCGATTACTCTTATTACTGAAACTTACACAATATAATGTTATATAGAAATTGTTTATCTTTACCTAAAACTTGACTACTGATAAACTGATGTATTCAGTAATAAAAAGGTTAAAGTAACTAATAATAACAAAAAAAATTTTGTTCACAGATGAACCAAAAGTGCAAAGTATGCGGCGAGCCCGCGGCTGGTTTCCACTTCGGCGCATTTACATGTGAAGGATGCAAGGTAAGAAAAAAGATATTTAAATAAACAACTAAATAAATATCTCATAATTACAAAGAGGTTTCTACCGGATTAGTCGACTCTTATAACCCATGTACGTATTTGCCCTTTGCCTCTTCGAAAACGAACTATACCTCTCTATACTCAGTACTATTTTGACTTCTAACCAATCATTTTTAGAATTTTTATGCTAATAGGTCATTTTTATAAAATGAAACTAACCACAATTTGCACTGATTTAATACCTAACTTAGAAAAATTTAGAAAAAATGAACTTGAAAGAAAAATGTTACATCTTCGAATCTAGAGGCGTATATGGGTTAATGATAAGAATCTAAGAAAATACAAGAAACTTTGTCACATCAGTTCAGATTTATTCGTTTTAAATATAACACACGGTCAGTTATTAAGACTGATAGTAATATCTTTAGTAACTTAAGAAATCCACAAAAACTATTGGTCTGAAAACTTACGCAATGTAAATCTAGTTTCAGTGAACCATTAAAAAACTAGGTGATCGAATCTTATCGCTTTTACATTCCAAAAGATTTATTTTTTTAACAACTACGAATAGTATTTCACGTTTTTAATTAAGTTTTCCAATTTGAGCTAACATTTTTTATTACTTATAGGTAACTAAGTTACTCTATTTGAAGTTTCTGCTCGATCAAAGGAGTTGAAGCCTTTTGAGGCTCACACTGAAAATTACATAAACTACTATTATGATTAGGTATATTTAAAATATTCCAAATAATTAAATCTTGATAATATCACTCAAGTTATTACTTAAAACCAAATTCCATATTTTTATTTCGAAATAGGTTGGAGAAATGCCTTATTGGTATTACTATGTTCACATAGGTAATGGTTAAAATTCGCTCTCCTAATTCAAATGCCTGAGCCTCTGTACCGACGATGACCTTGATAGCTTCTGTTCTTATTCATCCTGCATACATTTATCCTAAGCATGAACACGCTTTACTTTATATATTAATGGGAATGGGTGGGGTTTTTCTTTTAATCATAAGATTTGATCTGACATGGCAGTCGTAAAACAAGCAATTTTAACAATGTCTTAAATTTTGACTAGAATCAATAGATTATTTAAAAGATCCTGTTAATATCTAAAAATATTAAAGTCTGTTAAATTTTTGCTCAGTAAAGCATAATGTAATATGTACAGATGTTTAGTGTACAGCGAATCAGATCACTTTAAAAGAGTTCCGTTTGTAATTAAGATCGCAATTGATCGTACATAACACGGATTCGAATATATTAACAACGCAACATTATTTAAATACACTATTGATTGTTCCTTTCAATCTAACAATCGTAAAACTAATGCCACTGCAAACAATATTTAATATCCGCAATTACATTAATTATTCTTATTACGATTCCAATACTCATCCTTACAAGCTGCCAATTTATAAGCGTTATTAATAACAGGCTAAAACAACCTTATTCTTGCAATAGATAAGGTTTAAATCGTACGTTTCGAATACTATGCTCGTGTGTAGATATTGATAGCGTATCCGGGAGATTCACTCGAATAACTCGATCATCACGCAAAAGTTCCGCTATATATATATTTTTGTAACTGCCGGTGCCAAATGGATTTTTTATCGTATACCTTTTAGGAATGTTTATCCTGTTCCTAACCGACTATGTTTTTGTTGGAACTGCTTTTGTTATGATTCAACCGGACTAACGAACTCTCGATCAATGAACGTGTAGGTAAGAAATACAATATAGCATGTTGAATTTTATATTAAACTATTTTTGAATGTGTATCTTACAATTTACTTTCTTGTACTCATATAATTTACTTACCTTTTATTATTAAACTACAGTTTAATGCGTAACGAGTGTATTTATTGATCCAATTAAAACTATATGCATTATCAACTGTTAATGTGCGGTTTGAATAAAATCAAATCTTTGCCTCTTTAGTAAAGAATAAAATCATATATTTTATCTGATATTGCAAGCGGAAGCCGCAAGCGATGTGGTTCCAAGAAACCGTACCTAACGTGCCCCATTACGTAACACTGGAACCAGAGCAAGTGGAACCGAATGACAATAGGTGACGCAAGCAGGATGCACGCGGACTGGACGACAATTGTCTTTTGGACTCGGATCCAAAGTCCTGACCTCGATATTATTGTTGCTAATCAATTAAGCTGTGATTCGAACCTCGTCGATATTTAAATGAGAAACAGCTCATTCTAAACAGGTATCCATTCCAATCTTGCAAATTACGCCAAGACTACTAATTTAAATTAGGAACAGCATTTGAACAATTGATCATTAGAAAAAAAAAATTTACTCCGAGAATGTTAAAAGATCATAAATTAGAAAATAAACGACAGCCAATAGTGAAATTCCAATTTTAAATCGTTCCGTCCGTGGAGTTCTCCCGCGTTTTATTGGCGCCAACACAATGCGTGTGCGCGTGCGCCGATTTGTCTGGCAAAGCTAATTAACGTTGGTCCGCTTAGCCGTTTGTATGTAAATGCGACGCGGCCAGTAGTAATTGTTCCCCAGATACGGCATGCCCGGTGAAGTAGCTGAAGTCGGATTGACTTTGCACGCTTAGTTAACGATTGGGGCATTGAATTTATTTTATCCAACGCAGAAGGAATTTTAGTAAACCTACATACTGAAGAAGAAGTTCTTAATGATACTATACCTAGTTTAGTAACATTTATACACTTCAAGCTTCCTCTTCCGCTTAACATAAATTTTGATATTAGTCACATTTTACATAAAGATGATAATCTTCCTCATTTCGTTTGAAATAAATAATTTATCACATGCAATCTCTATTCATATCTGTTTCTGCACACTATGATCCCCTATAGTTTGATACAACATAACGTCAATTGCCGAATTCATTCCGACACTATTTGTAGGTACTTTGCACAACATTAGATTGTCTCTAGATGTTCGCTGTTTCGATATCTGCCGTCATTTTCCAGCGGTTGGGCGTCTTGCTTAACGACCAAACACCATGACCAGCCGGTCTGCTCCTCCGGCTAGCATGTTTATAGTTAATGGGCCGTGTCATTTGAGGATTTGCAGTGACTCTTTAGGTGATATTGCTAAAGTTCCGGTGACTGGAACTGCCTTAGAGTTTGCAACATCTGATACTTGGTCAGATTACGGTGTAATATATCTGTTTCGACTTGCATCTAATTTGGATACTGGTTGTGTCGAGGCACTTTTTAATATTTAATGTCTGCACAAGTTTGCCAATGTTGTATCTGCATCATTGTGGACTTATATTTACGATTATCTTGTTTGTGCTGTCGTAACCTATACGTGCAAACCGTGCAATAACTCTGCTTCCTATAGTAAGACAGAGTTTTCTATAGAAGAGGAAAAGACGAAATTATTCTATGGACTTCTATGATAGGTAGATATAATTTCTAATGATCACCCAAATATTTGCCAAGTTATACTACCTGAAACGGCTTAACCCTTTATTATTTATGTATATGTACATTTATATTGCTATCTGAGCAAAACGTCAGACTTGTCACTTTTGAACAACGTCATCCATTGTTGCCTGTACAAAAAGGAAAGTTATGTCTGCTAATATAAAGCAGTAAAAAACAGTTGCAATAAAAGCTTATTTATAATGTAGGTTAACATTAATATCGTTCTTGAGATGGAATCGTCACAATCAAAGGTCTGGATTGTATAGAGTGCGCAAGCAGTAGTTACCGGTAATGGCGGCCGAGATTGATGTCTGTCCGTCCATTACAAAAACGTGTGAACTGCGCCTTACGTAACACAAAACTAGAAGGCGGCGCGAACGCGATACTATTCACTGCCATAAATATTGTAATTACTAATGAGAGACATATTTGCTGTAGCGTTTGTGATATACGACTCGTTTCAATATATTTATATAATTGTGCATTTAGTTATTAGTAAACAAGTATACAAATTTAAGTAGGTATATTTCTTATTTTTAATTGTCTTTTGTGTGTGACAATTAAAAATAAGAAATATACCTACTGTGTGTGTTGTAAAAAAAAGTTTAAAAAATCATGTTAACTTAATATAATCAACTATGTATTATTTGTGATTTCTGGCATAAACTAATTAAATAGTAACGCAAATTTCGAAAGGAATGAATCTTCATAATGATATCAAATGCCCATTTTTTTGAATTTCATAGTAAGCATTTGTGTACTGATTTATTTATGTGAAATGATGGGTGATGACTATAATCTAAAGAAGATAAAGAAATTATAATGTTTTACGTATGAGCGGTGTAATTTTGATTGATCGATGATTTTTTCCCGAGCCCGTAATGGCAACCTCTTGTTTGCGTTTCACAGTAGGCATATCTCGCAACACCAAATCAGTCGCACGACCGTCCGTCCGTCCGTCCGTCGGACACGAATTATTTTCAAATTTGGAGCACATTCAAATTGCGGTAACGCACGCGAACGGCAAACGCTCAACGGAAAAAGATATTCGGGTTAAACCTAACCGTTTTGTTTCGTAACACTGGCCCGTAATAAATCATCGCTACTAATTTGCTTTTAAAGGTTTCTGGAAAGAATTATCTGTGTGTGTAATCGGGTATTGTGCTGGGACAATCGCGACTCGGGACCATTGTGGGCCGCACTCGGCGCAAAGGAGCCGCCACGCCGTTCGTAATTTGTCAACCCAATAGCCTCGGTACAAAACAAAAGTCGCGCCATTAATGGACTCTCTAATGTAAGTTAATTAATTGGACTGTTATTTTATACGTAATTGGCGTCGAGCTTTAAGCGCTGCCATTTAGCAAAATGATTAGTTCGCAATTAGCGTTTTGTAGGCTACAAAGATGGCCGCGCTCTATGAACGCATCATTAATCATGCAAATGCAATTGTCTTTGATTAAGCGAACCTCTTAAAAGTAATATTTTATTGAATCGCTAATTTAAATATAAATGAAGACTGTTAAATAATTACCGATGATATTTTAATGAGTAAATTTTGAC